CCCCAAAACCCCAAAACCCCAAAACCCCAAAACCCCATCAAATATTATCATTAAAATAACACTCCAATATGGAAAAAGTTGTGAAAAGAGCCAAGGTTAACGAAGAAGATGAGGTTCATACATCTGAAAAAGTTCTAGACCAGGTTGAGAAGGACCATAAGCAGAAAGCCAAGAATTTAGATACTACTAAAGGTATTATATCAACTTGTTCATCTCAAAGTTTATGTTTTCCTGTTAATTAAGAGAGCTCATTTCCCTGAGGAAGCTCATTTGCTTAAAGATCTCTCTGAATATCTCTTATATTATATCATTTAGACAACAATGAGGATGCTAAAGAAGAACAGAAGAAGGAAGAACAGAAGAAGGAAGAACAAAATAAATACAAAGAAGAAGAAAAAGAAGAAGGACCTTCTGAGTATTTGATCATGTTCCAAAATGCTGAAGGTGAACCAGTTGGAGACCAGATTATGCTTGATTCCAGAACGACCAAGAGGAATCTTGTCTCATTACTGAACACTTTCTTGGAGAATGAAGAAAAGCTGCCTTACTCTTTATATATTGGGGATGAAACTAACCAATCAGAAGTAAGAAGCTCTATCCTTGATTCAGTAAAAGAATTGCCTAATGCTAAATATAATGCAGAGACTGTCATTCCTATTATCTATAAGCCTGAAGCAATGTTTAGAGTTAGGCCTATTACCAGAGCAAGTACTACCCTGGAAGGACACACTGAGGCCATTTTAGCAACCAATTTTTCACCAGATGGGAAAAATTTAGCCACTGGATCAGGAGACTGAACTGTTAGGATCTGGGATATTTTTACAGAAACTCCACATCACACTCTTGAAGGGCACACTGACTGGGTCTTCTTTGTATGCTTCTCACCAGACTGCAAGAGAATAGCATCAGGAGGAAAGGATAAGAAAATTATCATTTGGGATGCAAAGAAGGGAGAGATGATAAATAAGCCTCTTTCTGGTCATAAAGATTACATCACCTCTCTTTCATGGGAACCATTCTTCAAAAACTCAGAGTGAAGGTATCTGGTGAGTAGTTCTAAAGACCAGACTTGCAAAATATGGGATACTATCACTGGAGTTCCATTAAAGACATTGAAAGGACACACAGATCATGTGACCAAAGTCATATGGGGAGGAGAAGACCTTATTTACAGTGCTTCAAGAGATACAACAATTAAGTGTTGGAATGCCAAGAAAGGAAAATTAGCTAGAGAGCTTAAAGGCCACGGTCACTGGGTGAACACCTTAGCACTTAGCACCGATTATGTACTCAGAACTTCATGTTTTGATCATACTCAAAAGGAATTTTCATCAACTAAAGAGATGAAGCAATATGCTTTGGAAAGATATAACAAAGCCATGAGTAAGAAGGGTCATGAAAGACTTGTAAGCGGATCTGATGACTATACCTTGTTCTTGTGGGAACCATATATTTCCAAGAAACCAATTGCAAGGATGACTGGACACCAACAACTCATAAATCAGGTTGTGTTTAGCCCTGATGGTCAGTTCTTTGTGAGCGCATCTTTCGATCAATCTATTAAGTTATGGGATGGTAAAAGTGGGAAGTTCATGCATACTTTCCGTGCCCATGTTGGAAGAGTGTATCAAGTCGCATGGTCTGCTGATAGTAGACTACTTGTCAGTGGCTCAAAAGATACCACACTCAAAGTATGGGATATGAAACGTAAGAAGCTTATGTTTGACCTCCCAGGTCATGCTGATGAAGTCTACGCTGTTGACTGGAGTCCTGATGGAGAAAAAGTTGCAAGCGGAAGCAAAGACAAAAGACTTCGAATTTGGAAAAATTAAGAAGTGTTTTCAATTATGAATCATTGCTCAGGGGTTTTGGGGTTTTGGGGTTTTGGGGTTTTGGGG